TTTCATAAGCAACCGGGGGGGGCAGAATGAGCGGTGGGTTGACGAGGAAAGTCCCCCCCCCAACTGCCTCTCCAGTCACCCACATCCCTCTGCTCCGGCTGTAGCGCACAGCCAGACAGCCCAGCAGACGTGTGTCCCTCTCCTCCCTAAACAGCCACCTCCCTGCTACACACACGCACACACAACTTCCCTGCGTTGTCCCCCCACCACCACTGTTGCACACAGCCGGAGCTAGGCTGCCGGTACACACAGCCCGGGTGTAGCAGGCGACCGTGCTCAGCCAGGCCCCTGTACAGTGTTGTTGTAGCCTAGGAGCAGGTCTGCCTGTTGATGCAGTCAATGTGGGGCCGTGGGGCCAGGCTCGTGTCAGGAGCGGCTGGCCATGATGCCTGTAAGTTACTGTCAGGCTGTAGTGTACCACTGAGTCTAGTTACTCGTAAGTTTAGTCAGACTTTAGTGCACAACTTCCTCTGGTTACTTGTACGTACAATCAAATCGTATTGCACATTGGGATCGGGTTACTGTAATGTACTATCAGGCTGTAGCTCATGACTGACTGGGGCCAGTTGTTGGTACAGCCAGGTCTGGTTCCTACGTATTGTCCGACTGTAGCTCACCCCCAGCTCCAGTGAGGCATGAGCACAGTCGGATGGTTGGTGGCTGGGTCTGGTTACCTGTACGTTCGATCAAGGTGTATGTACTGCTCCGTTGGGTCAGGTTACTGTCCTGTATGCACAGACTTGTATATGACAGGGTCTGGTTTCTCATATGTACAGTCGCACTTTAGTGAACAACCAGACTCTGGTTATTCTCACTTGTCTGTCATCTTGTTTTGTTTTGTTTTTTTTGAGGCTAGTAACCCCCCACCACCTCCCCCAACTAGGGTTGCTGCCCTTGCTCAGACCCCCAACTACCCCTGAAACACTAGAGGGCTGTAGCCAGGTCACAACCTCCCTCCTTGGCACATGATAACTCCTTGGGTGGTGCTCAGTCTCAGGGTTTGGGGTGACAGCAAGCCCGAGAAAAGGATCTGACTGTTTCTGGAACAACATACCTCCCCATTTCCACACCACCCCCAAACCGGGGGGGGGGTCCCTGCCCAGCCCCTCTCCTCTTTACTGCAGTATCGGGTACAAGTCCCACACCCCCAAAGCACACACGAACACCCAACACCGTCACTGTGCCGGGCTGGGCTGACTCCCGCTGGTATCGGGGCCGGCGGTGATAGGGGCTGGGGAAGGCGACGGTTGTGCCAGGCACCACAGCAGGGCAAAGTAGCAGGAGGGAAGAACCAACCCACGTGGGCACAACCGGAGGGAGGAAAATTGGGCACCTC